AAAACACAAGACAGGCACACCTGACCTGCACAAGGCACTGCACAGCTGGCTCTTTGTAAATGTGACTGCTGGGGAGGTTGATGAAAACAATTCACTAAACAAACCCCACACACTCACCCACTTACGGGCTACACAGTCTAGTAGGAAAGACCTTCCCCAGGGTCCAGAGCACCCCACTCAACAAAGACACAAGACGGGTGACATCAGAGAAACAATTTGCTGCCTAGCCCAAGCGGTGGCTGCCCTCCCAGCCCCAGCCTGTGCTCCGGGGGAGGGGGTGGCATCCGGCTGGGTTCACACCCAGGTGCTGCCATTACTTAGCCCCTCTGAACCTTTGTCTCCGCCTCTAGAACCCCCAGGTGATGACACTGACTCATCTTGTAGGGAAGTGGTGAGGGTTCATACAAGAATTGTGTGAATGTGTTTAGCAAAGTGCCTGGTACACGTAGTTGCCCCCAGGCAGTTCAGTTTCTTTCCTCCAATCTACTGGGAAAACCCCGTTAACCACATGATCAGAATAGGGGCTACCTGGTTCAAGGGAGCCCAGCAGTGTCAGTGAGCAGCTCTGGGGGTGTCTTGGGCTCCTGCTTAAGGAACCACAGTTCATCCCAAACCAAAAAGACTGAGAAAAGCTCCTGATCACATCGTCAAGAGCACCACACTCAGTGAGCTTTCATACAATGCTCATTCCTGCATCACGGAAAAATCAGGGTATTGCTGCAGGACAACAGAGACAACTGTCCAGAAGAAAGAGTCTCTAAGGCCAGTTGGTCACACACTGACATGCAGTGACCCACGACCCCAGAAGAACTAGTATGTCCTGATGGGCAGTGACAGAGAGGCCACCACCCTGAGAAACGCCCACAAGTTGCAGGCTGGGCCACCAGTCTTTTCTCCCAGAACTGCAATGACTCAGTCTCTACACCTAAACCAGAAATGCCAAGTTACCACCACTTGCCAGCACAGGCCCACCACGGAGAACATGGAGGAGGCAAAAGAAATCCTGTGGGTCACTGGCAGACACATCTTATATACCCCCAGGCTGTTGACTGGCCCAGGGCAGCAGTGGCGAGGGTTGGGGGGCTGGCAGCGAGGTCAGGCAACCCCCCTACCCACTGCCAGCTGGTATGTATGACACTTCCGGATCCCCTGTAAGCAAGCTGACACTGTACGGCCCAGGAGGTCTAATGGTGACACCTCCTTGTCACTTGACAACAGCCGACTGTCCGGGAAACAGCTCTGAGCATAGATTTGGCCTGAGTTTCTGACAAGGTTATGGAAGAAAGGCTCAGGGTGACATGCCCAGGTTAACGGCATGGAGTCCTGGAGACAGAGGACATGAGGGAGCGAGCCGGATGATGTCACTCGGGGCACCAAGAAGCACACCGCTTTCTCGTGCCAGTGCAGCGTTGTGACATCCTGGTCCCACTGCAAATCAGAACTGGAGGCTGCTGGTATCTCTGATGCCCCCTGATCCCAGCAAGAGAGACGCTCAGAGAAGCCAAAGGGAGGGACGGTGTGCAACAGTGGCTGAACAATCCCATCCCTGTATGACCTCTCTACATCCCTGAAGCCCCAGCAGGGCTCCATGCTCACCCAGGAAGTCAGGCATTCCTGCAGTGGGACAACCACGCCACACCCGCAAATGCACCTCGAATGGGAAGTTTCACAGGAGAACCAAGACACAGCAAAAGAGACATGCCCGTGGGAGGTACTAAACTAAGGTACATGTTGTTAAAGCTACCAGCTGAAAAAACGTTCTCCCAGCTCTCAAACATCCCACCTCATTGAGGATGTAAAGGCTGGAGAGGGCAGAGGGGGAGAGAATTTTGGAGGAAGATTTCTTTGGAGAGAGCAGCTTGGGGGGTAGTGGGTGGCTGCCTGGCCACCTCCCATCTCAGTCCCACTGAAAGGCATGGTGTGTGTCCCTATGGTTGGTGACAAGGTGGACGGCTATTAGAACCCCAGCGGGGAAAGCTGGAGGAGGAGAGGTGGGCTGGCCCTGCTTTGCTGGCAGAGCAAAGGAGTGGCATCCCTGTGGGCAGTCTGCATGTCCAGTGTGTTTGGGCAAAGAACGCCCATGCTTCCCATGGACCTGTGTCCAGAAGGGCCACCAAAGTGAGCAAGCTGACCTCCTCAGAGGTGAGGCTTCAGGTGGATCATTAGGTCCCAGGGGGCCAAAGCGAAAGAACATGTTTGCTTGAATCAAATGCAGAGGGAGGGACCTTCAAGGGGATGATGGCCATGGCGGGGGTAGGGAGCATCT